GGGTCTATAGAGCCCTTTTAAAAATGGCCAATACCGAGACGAAAATATTGGACTTCCATTTTTGCATTAATTCTGCAAACAGGGCAGAGGACATCGTGGGTAAACTGACATACAGTGTACTGGCTGGTTTCCCCCGCTCCTCTAAAGTAAGCTTTCTTTGTTCTCTTATTCCTACAGGCAATACTTAAAACAGGAAAGTCTTGACAAGAAAAGGAAAGAGTTCGACGCTAATGGCTGGTCGTTGCTGAGTAAGAAGAGTCAGGTAGGTTTGGGGAAGGGGTCTCTCCTGCTCTTTGCCTTTGTTCTTTGCCCTGATGGTTCTTTCCCAGCTGGTTTTCCCGACGGACGCGTTTTCCCGGTGACTCTAGGGGGTGAACAAATCCCAGTGGTGGGATGCTTCGCTGCAGATTCCCATCCTACATGGAATTAGGGAGGCTTTCCGGAGCCGGGGCTGCCCCAGTGCCGCCTCGATTCCTCTGCCCACCCTCTTGTCTTCATCTCCCCTTACTCGCGCTGGCATTCGCCCGTCCGTGCAGACCTGCCTCGTTAGGACTTGTTTGCGAGAGGTCCCTCGCTTGGACCTCGTCATCTTTAGAAGCCGGAAAGTGAGGACGGGCTCCTCTGGAAATAACGGTTTCGTGTCTTTTCCCTAAAGGAGATCCCGCAGCAGATGAACGGCAGCGACTGCGGGATGTTCGCCTGCAAATACGCCGACTGCATTACCAAAGACAAACCCATCAACTTCACGCAGGTAAAGCCCACCCTGGTGTGTCCCTCGTGCTCGGGGAGAGACGGGCACGTGGCGTTTGTGGGTCCATATTCTGATTTTTTTTTTTTTTCCCCCTTGATTTTTTTTTTTTCCCCCCTCTTTGTCTCCTTCTCGGTGGCTTTAAAGTGCCCCCAGCCCCCGTGGGGACGGTCCCGCTCCTCCTGGCTGTAGAGCTGGCGCGAGGCGCTGCGGCAGTTCTTTACACCGTGCAAAATTGTTCCTCTGAAGCCGCCCTCGGGCCTTCTCGGGTCCCTGGGGAACGTCACCGATGCATCCGGGGAAAGCTCACAAACACATAATGGGACCCACTCGTAGCGATAATGAAAATGGGGTGTTGTAGCCCAAATCCCAGGGGATTTCGGTGTTCCCAGGGGATTTCGGCGTTGCTTAACGTTGTCAGCCTCCACGGAATAACCCACGCCTGAATATTATTAAAGAATATCATCAAGAGTTACGTTATTACCTAGATCTCATCCGCAACCCCCTGTTCAATAATGGGAAAGTAAATTTCCCCCCCAAAAAAAAGGCGCCACGTAAAAACCTGCGCCCGGGAGAGCGGCTGCTCGCTGAGTGACACGCTGATGTACGGTTTTCTTTCTCTTCTCTCTCTTTCCCCTCCGCCCAAAGCAACACATGCCCTATTTCCGCAAGCGAATGGCCTGGGAAATCCTTCATCGCAAGCTCTTATGATGACGTTGCGCCGAAAAGCCGCTTCCTTTACGAGATTGTATCAGAAAGTGCCCGGATTTGCCCTGCTCTGCTCTCGGCCGCCCGAACCGGGGCAGGCACGGACCTGCCCGGGGCGTCAGTCAAAGACGCAGCGAGCGAACTCTTGTTATCCTATTTTTGATAAAACACCGTTCACGGACCAATGCGCAATAGAAACATTCAGAAGCACACTTGCCTTTTTTTTTTGTTGTTTTTGCCTTTTTTTTTTTTTTTTGTATTTCAAGACCTATTTTTTACAAGCGATTTCAGGTGCTGAGACTTGGGGGGGGAGGAGGGAGGGGCGCAGCTTCGGATATTTGAGGAACTTTGAAGTATTTTTGCTTTTTTTTCAGCTCTTGCTGCCAGCTTTGCTGAGCCGATGGCGTGATTTTTTTGGGGAGGGGAGGGGAAGGCACTTACACGGCTCTGGATGCTCTGCGCACTGGGAGAGCTCTAAGTCAGAGGGGCAAAAGGTGGTTTGGGGGGGGGATGTGGGGAGCTTTTGACACATTTTTGCTGCGTCCTCTACTCCGGTATTATCTCCCCTCTGTCCTCAAAGCCAACATTTCCTCGTTTTGCCCTAATCTGAAGATCCTAACCCACCACCCTCCATGCTTAGGGCGGCTGTGGGTTTCGGAGATCCGGGCTGGTGAGAGGTCGGGTGTCCCTCGGGGGTGACAGGAGCCACCGGGACATCTCCGAGAGTCACTTCTTTGTTAAATGCTGCTTTTTGCAGAATCCTTTTTTTGTTTTATCATCCCCAGGAATTGATCTCCCAGTTCTTTTAGCATCCAACTGTTTACGGCAATTCAGGTACAAAACGAGAGTAGAGCGTGCGCACCCTTGAATTCTTCTGTATATATTTCCAAACGTTTTTCCGCGAGTGACGAAAGAACAAAGTCTGCGTGGGCGTTGGGGTTTCTTGTTTTGGGGGTTTTTTTTTTGGTTTTTTTTTCAGGGTAGGTATTTTTTTATTTTTTTTTTCCCCTGCCCTGGTTTCGCCTCCTTGCAGGAGCTGAGGCTGCGGCTCCTTGCCCACCTTTGGCCTTGCGCGGAGGGCCCCGGCTGAGCGGAATGAATCGCTCTTCTCTCTCCCTGATATTTTGCACATGTTTTGCCCGGGGATAAAGGCTGCCGCAAGGTCAAAGGTGGGCTGGAAGGCAAAGCACCGGTGGCGAGGCGCGAAGTGCTTCCGAAGGTGTCTCGGAGGACGGATCAGCCTTGAGGACGAGCTGCGTCCCCATCAGCCGTGGCAGGGAGGGGGGGGGGAAAGAGGTAAAATATTCCGAAGCGCTTAAACCCTTCCGAAAAAGGGATTTTTCTTTTCTTTTGGGGGGATGCCCCGATGCTTCCGAACGTTTTATCCCCGGCGCCTGGCTCCTCCAGGCTCCCTGGTCGCTCGCGGATGGGGCTGTGCTGATGCTTTCAACTGTTGGTTTTGGGTTTTTTTTGGTTTTTTTTGGTTTTTTTTTGTAATTTATTCTCAATTGCGACGTGGGAGGAAGCGGCGAGCGTTTGACAAACTTCCCGAGCCGCTGAACCTGCTCCTTTTCTCTCCTGTACAGAACCTTTTTACCTAGGAGGAAAGAATGAAATAATGTCCACTTTTGTATTTTTTTGTCTCCGGATAGGGAGGGATATTTTATACGTTTTTTCTCTACCTGTAAGCAGTAGTTTTGTACAAAATTTCTCCCTTTCACCCCCCTCACCCTTGCTCCCACCAGGTTGTGTTCTTTGTAGGCTGGTTTGTACCCTTCCCTCTCCCCTCCGTGTGTTTTATACCGAGTTCATTTACTACCTTTTTCTATCTTTTACTGCAAGTAAAGATCTGAGGAAAAAAGAAAACGAGGAACTGATGTATCTTTTCTCGGTTTGCGCGCGCGTGTCGTGATTCACAGCTCGATAAAACGAGCCGGGAGCTTCGGCAGGCGCCGGAGCGTCGCCGTTGGTGAACAGCTTTCACTGTAATTCACCCTCTTCTTTAAATAAATGGCTCTCAGCAGGGTCGGGCGCTCCCAATACGGAGGTCTTTTAGCCCGATTTGATGGAGGAAGGAGCCGGAGCTGCTGCGAGCTGGAGCTAAAAGGCCTTGGCAGTCGCGGGCTGGGTGTTATCGCCTTTGATTTTTGCTGCTTTCTGGAGCCGGAGGCGGTGAGTTGGGAAGGGGGATCCTGTCCCAGTAACCTGCTTTAGGGCTTCGTCCCTTCCCGCCCCCGGCAAGGAGCGTCCAGCCCCCGCCGGCCCACTCCGGCCACTAGTTCTGGGCTGAAAGAGCCCCTTACCACGTCCCAGCAACCAAATCAACAAGTCCCTTGTTTTCCTTGGCTCCCCGCTCTCCCCCCCCCAAAAAAAAAAAAACCCAGGGAGAAAACGGGCCCCGTCAAAGGCGGCTTGTCCCC